AGAGCCATCAGTCTTACTTCGGCACCGGCCAGTCGGCCAGTCTGAGGCCTCCAGGATGGCACCTGCAGGATATCGTTGCGCCGGAATTTTAGTAATTTAAGAAAGGTTGCTGGATCCTCCAACTATACCTTCCAAGATGAGGATATCATACAACATTGCCCCAGAATGTTCAGGTATCTCTCTAGTTTGAGGGGTAGTGTGAGGGTCCTTTTTTTCTAGCGTCCGGGTCACTTGCCACGTGAGGATCTGCTGCCTTTGCATCAACCAGCACCGCGTCAAGGAGGCTCAAAAGCTCGGCAAGGCCCGAGGTTTGGTCGCTCGAGCGCGAGAGACGTCTCGGCTGCTTTTCAGGCGCAAACCATTCTGAAGGGAGATCCACCAGGCCCTCCAACTGGCCATAAAAATGGTCTAATTTTGGGGCAAGAGCCAACTTTCATGGGTTTGAGGGCCCAGACCCCTTCAATGGAGGGTCCAAAAGTTCTTCGACTCAAGGAGGCCTTGGCGGACTTTAGTGCCCAATGCTGAAAACCGGAGGGCCCTGCGGTCATTGCAATACATTTGCTTCAGAAGGTGTGGAATCTATCACTACTGAAAATGTGCTTATATTTCCCAGTGCACTTAAGCAACTGAAGGAAAAGTACAGCGCACGTCAGCCGATTATGAGTTAACTGCTAACTGGTGTTGTAGTAGCGGCCAGTCAGCACAGGGAGCCCCAATTGTGGCCTACCTGTTTCCTCAAACATCTCCAAGTATGTGCTAGTTGTTCTTGTTGGTTTGGATTGGCTGATTCCTCCTAGAAGCCCTAACTTGCCCTTATTTGTGCTTGCTTGGCTTTGCTAAGGCTTAAGAGTTTAGACGTCTATTAGCCCTAAGCTGTGAGCGGGGGCAAACGGGGGATTGGCAGAGTCCTTCTTGTACTGATTCAGAGCCTCGCAAGGAGAGTTATTGCAGGCGAAAAGCGCAAGAATGTGACTACTGTGGATGGACATAGTCCAATTCGAAGTGGAAATGGATTTGTTCCCTGAGGCAAGCCGGCTACCCGCTGGTGCCGGTGGTTTCTCATCCGCAACCACTAGAGGCCACCGTTAGCCCCTGGGATTCCGTTGATCAACGGGAACCAGCCAGTAGAAACCAACCGGCCAATGTTGCTATAGGCTGCCTATAGGATACTGATTTTTAGTGTTCCTGGCTTGTGCCGTTTTTGGAGCGTACCACTTTTCTTAGAAATTAACATGCTTGGAGGGAAACCACAGTGCAACTGTTTCTTCTTTATTTGGGCGGGTCCGCTCCATGGCACGGGCGGAAAAGAGGGCTCCGACCTTTAACCGTTGGCGCCATCAGGTTCTCTCACCGGCAACAAGTGAAAAGACATTTGCGGGTCTAGTCTATGTCTGGCCACTTTTCAAGTGTGTGCCTCTTTTCATGTTGCCTGGGCCCGCACACTCTAAACATGTGGTAAACGGCCCACTGTGCAACATGCCCATGTAGGGCGGAAGAAGAGTCACTTCTAGTCTAAGTCTAGATCCAAAAACAAGGGGTGTGTCTCATGGGTTAACCGCATCTTGGTTTTAACTGGAAGCCCGTCCCAAAAACAAAAACAACACAAACTGACATATATATATATATACATGTATGTATATATGTATGTGTAACAATATATTAAACAAAAAAATAAGACAAAAAAAGAAGACAAAAAAGAGGAACAACAAGGAAAAACAAAACACCACTCGGTCGGATCCATCAGGCGGTGCCCTTCTCTGAGTTCGAAGCCGCCTTCGGGCAGCGCGTGCGCGGGGCGTCGCACATCCTGGCCTGGGCCTCAAGCTGGCAATCGATTCGATTCGGCAACCGAGCGGCGAGGATGTTTCGTTTTTTTTTTTTTTTTTTTTTTTTTTTTTTTTTTTTTTTTTTTTTTTTTTTTTTTTTTTTTTTTATGTATATATATATATATATATATTAGTTTGGCATTTGTGGTTTTGTCTTGATTGTTTGTTTTAATGTTCTTTGTTATTGTGCGGCGAGGATGTGTGGCTTTGTGTTTGATGTGTTCTCTTTGGATTTGGCTTGGTGTTGCTTTTTTCGGCTACGGCGAGATGTTTTTTTCGGCTCGAGTTTGTTTGGTTTGGCGTGGTTGTTCTTTCTCAGTTTGTGGAAATGCCCTGGAGGCTTCAGGGAAGGCCGCCGGTCCGCTCCATCCGAACCCTGGCGTATGCGGCCAGTGGGCTGGTGTTCACATTGTCCCCACAAAGACTGTCCCCTAAGAAAGGCTGGTCGCCAGATGTGTCTTGGCTTGTCCGCCCCGAATCGAAGTCTACAAAAGGACAGCCCTGTGGAAGCATTTTGTTTTCTATTTGCAATCATGGAGACGAACAGATGTTTTAGTGCCCATTTCAAGGTGGCTCAAACAAGAAACACCATTGCATCCTTTGTTTGGTTCGCGTGCGTGTGTGTACGTGTACGTGTACATGTACGTGTATGTGTTTGTATGTGTGTTTATATGTGTGTTTGTACGTGTAGGTATGTGTATGTGTTTGTGGGGGTGTTTTTTTTCAAGGGGAACCTTTTTGGAAAGGGAGAACAACTTATTGTGGGGGAGCCTTTATTCTAGGGGACACTTCCCCATTCTTTCCAGGGATCCGGATCTTTCCAGAAAACCATCAGAACCCCAGGTTGGAAACAGATCTGGTTGAAAAGAATGGAATTGGAATCCACCCCTAGATGTGTTTTTTCAAGAACCTTTTTGGAAAGGGGAACCACTTAGTGTGGGGGAACCTATGGGTGTTTTTCCCCAGCTTGGCAGAGAAGGGGAACGAGGGAAGTCCACCCTCCTTGAGGCGATGATGAGCCCCTGGCAATCGCCGGTCTACATCCAGCGCGTGTGGTGGGGGTCCCCCAGTGGCTTAGGTGTGGGACCCAAAAACCCATTTGCATTTTTTCTTCCAGTGTTTTTTTGCGGTTTCCTTCAAAACCCCACTTGCAAAGGGTACTTTTGAAACAACTAGGTCCCCCAGTGCCCTTTCTCTCCCCTTTTTGGTTGGGAGGGTTCCCCTAAAATGAACTAGAGAGAAAAAATCGGGTACCATCTTATTCTAAGCTCTCAAATCTGGAGGATCTAGTAGATGCAGGTTAGTACGGGCACCTTCATTGAATAGCTCCCTATTAAAACCAGACACTGACTACCTTTCAGTTGGGGGTTGATCAATACTCGATTTGGGGCCCTCAGTTTTGACCATGGGCAACTTTTCGCACGTGAGACAAAACACGTGTTTTTGTTTTTTACGGGTTTTCCCCAATGGTCATCTCATGTCCAATGTAAAGGACCTTTTGATCAGCCCATTTGTAGAGGAAGCTCCTTTTGGGGCACGCCCTTGTCTTCCGCATTCATTTGTAGGGGACTATGATGTGGTTCTTGTTTAAGGTTGGACCCCAGAAAATGGCTTCGGTGTTTTTGTCGGTTTCTCTTGAAAACAGGTACAGGGCTTAAGCAACGAGGAATCGGATGAGCCCTGTTTCCCACTCCGCGGGTCCTCGTCAGCTTCCGACAAACCAACGTTCGTCGCTTTGAAGTGAAGTCTGTAGAGTAGGAAACTGGTGCCAGCGGAAGTCAATGGTCGACCTTTAGTCCATTTCAGGAATAACTCTGAATACGGTCAAAACCACTGGCCAGGAGAAGCTCCAAAACCTCTGCAACATTGAGTGTGGCTTCTGTGGTCCCTTGAGCTTGTCTGGTTGCGGTTAGGGGTGTGTGTCAGGCCTTTCAGGGTTGTGGAAACCGATCAAGTAGCTGACCGGAGCCTGTCTTCAAATGGGAGAATCCCTGAAATGGGCAGTTTCCATGTTTCTGCCCTTGGGCAGCAATCCGAAAAAGGTGCCGGACGTGGGCAACATGCTACAACGCGAAGTCAAAGTTTCACGGACTCAACTGCGAGAAAGCCAAGCGTCAAATTGCCCTGCCTCCCCCTCACATCATCAGACCTGCCGACCGCAAAGAACGCACAATGACAGAAAACGTGCTTTGCTCCATGCGCGCATTGGTGTCCTTTTTGGTTTGCTTGGAAACTTGGTCCTTTTAGCACTCCTTCCACATTTCCTACGGCGGTTGATCCCACACCAGCCGCATCATTGTGCGCAAATAATGATGAGCTCACCTGAGGTGAAACAAGCTCACTCATGATTCAGGTCCCTTACTTGAGGATTCCGTATTCCCAGTGTGTGGAGCTTTTGTAATTTGCCCGGTCACTGATGAGGACTGGCAGCGCGCATTGCATGGCAGGTCTAACTGCATGGTGTGGCAACATCTTGCAAACCACAGGATACCATAGGCATAGGTGTCCGCTTAGTTTGGATAGAAATAGATTCCACTGTTTTAGGTTTCTGTATTGCTTCATTTACCAAGGCCATTGGTTGTTACAAAAGGTCAACTATGGGGCCATAATGTCTTTCTTTTGGAGGACACCCCTTGTTTGGCTGTTTTTTCAAGTAGCTTTACAACCTGCAAGCCATGGTAAAATTACAGTAGGGAGGGTCCCTTGTTCCCCTTTCAATATCCCTCAAAGACACATCAATGTAGTGGCCCTTTTGCTTTGGGGACCCCTTTGGTTTTGGAAGCTAGACGTACAGATGTTCGACTTTTTGGAGTTGAGATGGATGTATGACATGTCCACGTGAGTCCACTTCCCTAGCAGGCAACCCAGGGAACCACGCTTCTTGACTGCTACTGGGTTGGATCTTTAGACTTTAACTTTTTGGTTGAAATAAAGTTGTGTTTTCCACTAAACCCCCAAACAGTTGTCAACTTTTTGCAGGGGGGTCGTTGCAGCAACCAAGGCTTCAAAGTCAGAAGGAACATGGCAAAGTGTTGCCTTCGGACCGAGATCCACGGGTTGGCAGCCAGACTTTTCGAAGTCACAGTGATCTGCTTCACATCTCCCAAGTGCTTGGCTTTTCTGATGAACCCGCAAAGACCAGAGATCGCGAGACTGGCCAAAGGATCGATGCTTTTAAAAGGATGGGCTCATGACTCCTTTATTTGGGGTAATGCCCCCTTTTCTAAGGGTCATGGAGACTCCCGGTAGGTATTGTTCACTGTTCTAACGAGCTGTTTCGCGTTACGCATCAGCCAGCCGAGGTGCGTCTTCGAGATTTCCAGGGCCATGAGCGAGCAGAAGCAGCTCTCCATCCTGATGCCCCCCAAGGCGGGCATGTGCGCGTCGGAAGTGGAACTGTGGATGGTTGCGACTTCCTCTTAGGCATCACGGAATGAAACCATGGTTGAAACCATAACGTTTGGTATGTCCAGGGGAATCAAATCAGAAACCAGGGTTTCTGAACGGTGCCTAAGTGGATTTCGCAACCATCCACTGTTCGAGCCAACTGAACTGGGCAGACCCGGAGAACACGCGCATTACCCAACACTCGGGGGACAGAAAAGCGGACTCTGCAGTTAGTTGTTCCACTTTTGAATAGGACTGTTGGTGTGCTTCTTCCCTTCTAACGCGCAATCTACATATCACCCATATAGCTTCTAAGAGGACACCTAGGTCACCCAGAACATTTCAGGCAATTGGCTACAGCAGGGACCCTTCCTTCGACTTTTGAGGTACGCTCGATAACTTATCCCCCTTGGGGCGGTCTTTCTTCATCTTTGGGCTGGAAGTAAGGTGGTCATTTGTTTCGGATTGCCAGGAAGATCAATCATACAGCCTCCGTTTGCAGGATTTCTTTGTTCTTCTGTTTATCGAACTGAGGCGGTTGGCAACAGTTGCGTTTTCCTGAGGATGGTCCACATGTAGCACATGTATGCGCTTCGCAACAGTTTTGCAACCATCCACAGAAGGCCGGCCCCCCCCCAAAAAAAAAACAGCAAGAAGAAGAACAAGTGTGTTTGCCTTTAAACCAACCCAAAACCGGGGCACCCTCCAAATCTTAGCCCCCCAACAACACCACGGGATTTCGGGTCCGGAACCGTCCGCAGAGCTGAGCTGAGGAGGAGGTGGCCTTCCGTGGAGCGCTCTTCAGCAGCGGCCTGCAGGGCCTCTTCGACGCCCTGGCGGCGCTGAGGATCCAAGACGCTGCAGCCTCGGCGCCTGGGACCCGAAAGGGACGGGTTTCAGGTTGCCACTGACTCATTCGCCCAGCCACTCACTCGTTGGGGTTGGGGTTGGGGTTGGGGTTGGGGTTGGGGTTGGGGTTGGGGTTGGGGTTGGGGTTGGGGGGGTTGGGGGTGATGGTGTGGGGCGGTGGGTGTGGGGTGGGGAGGGTTGTGCGGTGGGTATAGTTTGTGCGGCGGGTGGGTTGTGCGGCGGGTAGGTTGTGCGGTGGGTGGGATGTGCGGTGGGTGGGTTGTTGTGGGAGAATGTGGGTTGTAGCGTGTGGGTTGTGGGGGTGTGGGGGTGGGGCGGGCGGGCGGGCGGGCGGGCGGGCGGGTGGGTGGGTGGGTGGGTGGGGCAGTAGGTAGGCAGTACAGGCTCCTGATACCACCTTGAAAACCACATAAAGGGCATGCTGAATCTAAGAAAAGCTGTCTACTGGGTTTTTTTCAGGAAGTTCGCCCAGAACCCTGGTTTTTTGTGGGTGTTTGGCGAACTTGGAATCATGGAGATGGTTTCTTGGATGTAAGGGCCTACTTTCTGTGATAACAAGAGACTCGCATCCTGCAACTCCACTGCACGCACCGACCCAGCGAGGGGAAGTCGGACAGGCGCTGGGTATGTCTGCTTCGAGTTTGAGGCTTTGGGCAAGAAATCAGTATCCTAACCCAGAAGCCATGCATCGTGGCCCTCGGCACGTCCATTTGATTGTCATGCAAGTGGGACCTTGCAGGCAGTTGGTCAACATGAATTTGTTTGCTTGATCATGTACCTGAACCCTCAAAATTCCCTTAAAAATTGGTTTGACCCCCAAAATTATGGGGTGATATCCCATTTTTATGGGTAGTTTGAGGGTCCAGGTATACATATCCGCATCATGTACCCCTTTTTTTCCTCTATTCGGGGTCTGTCCTGAGGTGCCCGAGGACAAGGCCAATATCCTGAAGTCCATCGACCCAGATGCCACGGACGCGGGCAGAAGGGCCCGACGCCGATAGTGTTTCGGTTTTGTTCTTCCGGGATAACATGCGATTTGGTGGTGGCAAAGGTCCTTGGCCGATTTATCACGAATTGCAGGGCAGGCTGGCTATGATGTTTAGCAGGGAGCCTTGATTATGGAAGACTCAATCCCCGCCAAATTCTGATTTCCACCAAGCGGGCTTGGACGGAAGACTGATGTTTTTCTGACCAACTCAAGAAGTGAGCGGTGGATGTGCTTGCGTGTTTTTGGTCATTTGTTGGTTTTGTTTTCTTTGAGGGGTTTCACGAACAGTTTTCACCATTCCGGGCGGAAAATCAGCTCTCAGCTCTCTTGCTCCAAAAGGTCTAGGGATTTGCGGAATTTAGACCCAAGGCCTCCATTTGTTTTATTTCAATAAGGAATCCGTTGGTGAAACATCGTTTCTCGCCAGAATAATGTCCACCAAAGGGTACCCAGTCAAGATTCATACCCAAATTGGGACCTGCACGCCAAGTGGAATTGCGTGGGATTTCGACGTGAGAGATTTGTAGAAGTGTTCCCTCTAGGAGAGGAATAGAACGGACGGAACCACCCCAGTCCCTTGCTGGAGTTTGGGATGACGTGAAGAATGGCTGAAATGATCTACTCACTTGCCCAAGGCCGACCTTTTGACCTTTTGGTTTTCCAATTTTGGTCCTTTTTTAGTAAAGGTCCCAAAAGGTTAACCTTTTATTTCCAGGTCTTTTGGGCAAGTGAGTCTAGGAGCACCCCCGGAAGTGGGTAGCCATCGTCGTGAAAATTCGCCCACCCAGACTCTCAGGCGCTCCTGGGGTTTCCATTGGACACCCCGAAATTTGGGGGGTCTCAACACCTGGCTTTTAGAGGAAATGCATCAGGAGAGTTTGGGCAATGACACACCTTTCTAGGTGCCGCCTGCAATAGGAGATCCAGACCTTCAAAGGGAACCAACAGGACGCTGGTGAAATGCTCTCTGTTCAAACGTGGGCCTGGTGGGCCCAAAACCTGGTCGAACTGGTTGGCACCATTTGTGGTTGTGTGTGTGTGTGTGCATGTTTTGATATTTGAGTACCCTTAGAGCATATTTTGAAAAACCCAGGTTCTTGCTTGTGTTGTTCCAAGGCAAATACTACATACCGTTTTGCTTGGAACCCGCAAAATGGTTGATGGGTGGGTGTTCCTTTTGGTTTTCTTGTAAGACAAAGAGAGAGGAGACCCAATTCTTCACCACTGCCTCTCTTTCCGCCTTCCGGCGGCCGGTAAAAACCGCACCTGGCAGGACTTTGACAAGTCCCGGAAGGTGGCGGAGCTCAACAAAAACGTCAGGGAGAAGTTGCCGCTGGGATGTCTCCTCTCGGTTTGTGTCTTTTGCAGGGCTGTGGGGAATGACCACTTCTGTGATACTGAAAAACAACTTCCCAAAGACTATTTTGTAAAGCAAAAAGGGGGATTCCCTTGTATCGCCACAATTGCCAGGCACCCCGCATTTTTAAACAAACCCATACGCCTGGACCCTCAAACCTCACCCCATCATATGATTTGGGTGTGTTTGAAACATAGATCACCTATCACGGAACCTTGGTAAATGGAAACAAGACTAATACCTGCGGTCCCCTGGCTGTTTGATTTTGACCCACCATTTCTAGTCACAGGGGGAGCCATAGCAAATCAAACAGTGGCTATTAGTGCCTATTAGTGACTATTTCAAAAGCCTTAGGCTATGAACATGTATATAGCCAACGAAATCTAGGGAACAGGAAAGGTGGTGAAGCCAAAATCAAGCCAGCGATTTTCCGGATGACCTAAACCAGATCACCAAATAAGTGCAGGCTGAGTTGTGTGGGAAGCGTGAAAAACAGTTGCCCTGACATGTACAGTATATGTGGTGAAGCCAACGTAAAGACTGGATTCCGAGGTGGTGAAATCAAAGGAAAGCACAGATCGAGTCTTTTTTTGTGACCCCAAAGAAAGCCCAAGAGACCCCAAAAGGCCTCGTAATCGTAGGGTCTTGGGACACAGGGAAACCGCCTAGCCGTGCGCCCAGGCAGGCGTGGCTGGTGGAAACGGCCGCCACCTGGTTAGAGCAGCAGCTGCCGGACGAGGAGGTGCAGCTGGAGGTCCATAACGCGGCGCCTCGGCGCATTTCTTACCTCTTAAAAACACAACTTTTCAACTTGTTGGGTAACATGGGCTATATGTCCGCAAAAGATTAACTTCCCCAGGGCTTGGAGTTTTAAGGGGAAAGATTTGGAGTGGAAGCAACTGGAAGGAGCGCGCTAGGGTTGAGTCGTTGATCAATCTCTCCTAGGTCCAGCCAGCGTGCCCGTTTCTACCGTTACTTTTTTGGTTGGGAGGGTTCCCCTACTAAAATAGACAACGAAGGGAAAAGTTGGTATCCTTCTTCTAAGCTCTCTGCTGGAGGACCTAGGGAAGGAACGCGTGAGGGTTGATTTGTTGATCAATATCTCACATCCTAAGTTCCTGGACTTTAAGCTTGTTGGGAAGAATAATGTTTGGTGGTACATAACAAGATTGAACTGTTTGGCAAATCCACCCATGGAAGAATAGTCCATTCGGCGCCCGAATATGGGTAGCTTTGCTCATGTGGGAAGTTGGCAAATTTGTTTCGCGGTCCCCAATGGTCATCTCATGTGAAGGATCTTTGGATCAACCCCCATGCCTCGTGGCCTAGCTGTAGTTGATCCACGCCAATCAGGGCCTAGTGCCTGAGCAGTGGCTCATAGTGGCTTGCAAAGAGTTGATTGGTTATTTTCCACAGCTCTTGCCGCCTTATTCAGGGTCCAATTCCACTATTTTTTTGGGGGGGGGTTCTCAAAATTGTTCGTTGTTGAGGGCCTTTGGAGACTTGGTCGCTACAGGTTCTCCATTGGAGAGGCCCCTTTTTGGGTCTTACGGAACGTGACGTTGGTCG